TTAAGCCATCTTCTTCTATTTTGGTTTTTGATTAGGGGGAGGCAGTTGATTTGCCTCAGCCTACTATTGTCTCTGTGGTTAACTCTCCTGCTATTAATGATTTGGTTTTATTGCCAGACCCCATTTCTTGTAGTAAGGATAATGCTAAAGTTAATCATGCTTGTAGTCCTGTTATTGATCCTGTTGGGAATAGTGATGTGGATACCATTGCTATTGGGGATCAATTTTTGAGTTGCCTCCCCCTGTGTCTGTTGTGGTCTTGCCGGTTGGAAATGTCTCTTCGTTCCACGCTTTGGCTGACCCGATGAGTTGTGCTGCTATTTTGAATTCTAACAATTTGGGTACCATTCGTTCCCTTACATTTGTTTCTACCCCTTTGGTCGTGGCCAATTCGAAGGGAGATGATTTTGTTGCCTGTGAGTTGATTCAAGTTGTTGCCCTTGCTGCATGATTTAGCTTTTTGACCTTTTTAATTGTTATCTCACACTCTATTGGGTTTCTATTTCTTTTTGCCATTGATTGTAATCGTCCTTTTTTATTGGAATAAAAATATACATATATAGTAGCTTAGAGCCATAGTACTTCAACCCAACAGTGCGGTGCTGCATGAATTTAGAATTATTGTAAAACAAAAGCTTCAATCTCACGGTGGCAATTTTAGGTGCCGCTATGCTCAAAGGCTAGTGTCTCAACACTCTCAATCTCAACGCCGCAACATTAAAATAGAAATTTAAATATTTTATTTTAAAATATATTTTCATATTTTGGGTTGTTACACAACATAGCTCATAAATATGGAGAAGATTATGAGCAAATCTGGAGTGCTCCATCAGATGACTCTTCTTACTTCCTTCAACCATAGAAGGTTCATTCCACATTTAAGTATCGTAATGACGTCAAAATTGTACCATAGTGGGCTCATTTGATTCTTCTCGTTGAGCATCTTGAATTGACTATAAGTATGTCACATTTGAAGATTATTTGGTTATTCAAAAAATGACTTGAAGCTTCCAAATATGTTTTAGTCATTTAATTTTGGCTCATTTGGGCTCGGATTTGATCAACTTTGGTGTCGACGTTGGGTTTGCCTTATCGAGATGTTCAATTTGACTACAAATTTATTGAGATTGGAATTCAGATAATCCCAAATTTAATTTTGAAAGTTTTTAATTCAAATATGCATCAAGATTCGTGCATTATCAAGGTGATTTTTGGTAACATATCAGATATGTACAAGACTCATCGGTATTCAATATGAAGAGATGAAGAAATACAAAATTTATATTATTTTTGTGTTAGGTTATTTTACATTACAGTTGATATGCAACTTCAATAGTTGAATAATTATTTCTTTGAAGCTAGTACTCATTTTTATTTTATTTTTTGGTACTTCAATAGTTGGACAAATTAGGGTTACGGGGGAAATAATTATAATACCCTTAAAACTATTTTATTAAAATTTGAGGGTGGGCAACCTCACATAATCTCTCCACATAAGGACAGGTCCGCCACTGATTATATGATTATTATACTTTTATTCTTTCATTTAAATAAAATATAAATAATCGAATTGCATTATTAAATTATGAGTATCTGAGCCTCTTTTTTATTTTTATTTTCCAACCTTTTAAAATATACAATTTAATTTATTATTAGATGTTGTGTGGACCCACCTAAAGCCGTCCCTGCCGTTTGCATAGCTGTGGGTGCGGAGCTTAGGTAGGTCAAACGCCTGCATGGGGTACCAATGTCAATGTGCATGTCACGTGCAATGGGCAGCCAAAATCTTGCGAGCTGAACCCGTCACGTGCAAATCTTCCCAATGAGATGCGCGTAGAGCCTATACACGATATCTTGCGAGACTAATATCCAACGCAGTCTCGTCAAGTATAATATATATATATATATATATCCCCACTATTTTATTTTTTTTGTGTAAACTATTTTTTTCTCTTTTGCAAAATAAAATAGTTATTTTATTTTATACGTTCAATAGTGATAATTAATTGAGTGAATCTTGATTAAATTATTGTTAAGACTCATTTGATTGCTTGATACTTGAAAATATGTTAAAAAAGTTTATAATTATGGTTGTAGTTATTGTTTGGATTAGAATTCTTAAAGTGATAGAAATATAGAGATTTTATTAATATATTGGTTTTATATAAAGATCTACAGACAAACATAAAAAGATGTGCAAAAATTATAAGAGATAGTATTAGTACACAAAACATAAACAAATATGTATTAGTAAACTCTGTCAACGTGGCATGATTCTATTAGCTTACCGTCTCATCCTATTCTATAAATAGTAGGCTTGCTGCTGTATAATTACTTAATACAATTTATTCTTTACTTTTCCCTTGCATGCTTCGTCTGCTTCTTCTCTCTATTCTGAATGTTCTTCATGGTATCAAGAGCGTGTTGAGAGGAAATCTTGATCATGGCGAACTCAGCTAGTTCACACCTAAGCGAAAGCACCAAGCCAGCGCCTCAAGAAGAATCCGCTATCTCCCCCAACCTGAAGTTCGTCGTCTCCAACATCAAAAATCTCGCTCTGATTCAGCTAAACCTAGAAAACTACTCGGTTTGAAAATCACAAATCCTGAAAATCTTTTGTGCAAATGCTTTTGATAAGTATCTCAATCCTTCCTTTCCCATTCCCTCTCAAACGATCCAAGATTCTCAAGGCATCACCAATCTGAATCCCTCATTTACCCAATGGAACCTTACCAATCAAAATCTGTCCACCTCACTATGCTCCACAATCTCCTCCTCCATTCTTCCATACGTGGTGAATCTTGATTCCACTGCCGCTATATGGTATATGCTAGAAAACCGATTCCAGTCCACAAACCATTCTAAAGTTATTCAACTTAAGAACACACTCCACAACATATCCTTCAAGAACATGTCCATGACTCAATACCTAACCAAAATAAAGATTCTTGTAGACCAAATCGCCGCAACCAGCTTCGTTGTTGATAATGAAGACATCATTCTATACATACTCAATGACATACCACCTTCATACCAGTCGTTTAAAACTGCAATTCGCACCATGCTCACCCCAATTAATTAGTCTTGATCATCTTTTTCCTCTTCTGCTCATCGAGGAGATCAGTATTGCTTCTGACGCTGCTCGAAATCAATCGATTCCAGATCCAAATGTTGCTCTGTACTCATCATGTGGACGAGGCAGATATAATCGAGGCAAGACTAACACTACTACCGGAAACACTTAGTGACAATCTACGTCGTCCTCCACCACCTGTCAAATATGCCTCTAGAAGGGGCATTCTGCTTCAAAATGTTGGCACCGCTTAAACACTAACTGCACCCCCTCCGCTTCCTTTCAGAACAACAGAGCTTTGGTCGCGACCTCTGATAATTTTAATACCAACTGGTATCTTGACTCCAGTGTAACGTCGCATATTACCAACTCTCGACAATATAACCATCTCAACACCATATCACGGCACCAACAGCATCGTCGTCGGAGATGGTCGACCGGTCAACATAGCAAACTCAGGGGCTGGGTTACTATCGACCTCAACTCGTACGCTGAAATTGTCACAAATTCTTCACACCCCATCATTATATTACAATCTTCTGTCTATTTCTCAATTAACAAAAGATAATGATATCTCTATTACATTTAACCCATCTGGTTTCATGTTTAAGGATTTGACGACGCAGCAAGTTATTCTTCATGTTTAAGGATTTGACGACTTCTGTCTATTTCTCAATTCACATTCAATCTTAAGAGGTTCGTGTGGTACCAATCAGCACAAAGGATCATACAATGGATATTCTAACCAAACCTCCATCAATGCCATGCTATCGATTCCTTTCATATGTTAAGCTTCTCTTCTTAGCAACACCTACTCTGTCTTTACACTACTGAGCAAATTTGTTGTGACATCTCTATGGCATAAATGGCATGGACAACCCACCAACTCCACCATCTAGTATATCTCCTCACAAAAAGAAAAAAAAAACAATTTATCTTCCTTTTTTCCTCTTTACAAAGCTTTTAATATGGCTAAGATTGAGTATTATCATCTAACTTAATATAATTATGAAATAATAATTAAGTACATGTTTGGAATAGATTTCTAAATGTTTTATTTTTTAGACCAGAACTATATTTTTGATTGACTACAACTTTTTAGTTGCTTTTCAGAAATTTTTATGACTTGAACTCACTTTTACAACTTCATAAAAAGTCGCAATCACCCCAAATAAATCATAGTACTTATGAAAATCTTAGCGATTGAACATATAGTAATTAAGCGGTCAATGAGACGTACCTCATACTGGTCTGTTAGTTGGAGCTTTGGCTATTAACCATGAGGCCTTGTGTTCGAATTTTGCGCAAGTGATGTATATGTAGGTTTGCCTTAACTGGCCTAAAAGTCCCCAAAAAAATTAAAATTGGTTCAATGAGATGGAAAAAAAGCATCAAAATAATGTATTTTAATTAAATTAGCCTTCTATCCCCATCTTGTTTAGACGAAAAAAAAAAATCCTATGCAATTTCAGTTTTAGCCAAGCAGTTTTAAAAATTTTCCCCCACTTAAAACTTGGCTAGATGCAAAATTACCAGTTTAGCTACTATTTACAAGCTAATTCTGTAATTCTTATTCTTTGAAGGGTAATCGTGGAGGGCAATTTAGTCATTTGAGATGAAAATTTAATTTAAGCATTCCACTCATTATCCTGAAGCACATAAGCCATTTGCTTTATAGTTAAATTTCAAAGAAGGTAATATAAATAACTGAAACACGCTAATTAACATATAAGAACTTTTCATCAAGGCGAAAAAAAAATAAAAAATAATTGGCCTCCAAATTAAAAAAATAATTTTTTTAAAACAGCAAAATGAAAGGAGGCTAATATTTGTTTATTTATTAAAAAATGCTAATGGCTTTGATCATAAAAATAAAATAAATATAAAACTCTCACCTTGTTTCTTTCTACCTTGGCCTACAAAAGGACCTCAGGTTTTCCCTGCTCCTCCCATCAAGTTGGCTCTTTTCTTTCCTAGAAGCCTTTTGCTTTGTTTCTCTCTTTCTCTTCCCAACCTCTTCTGTTTGCCTTACCAACTCCATGGATCTCCTAACTGAAGAGCAGATCTCTGAGTTCCAGGAGGCCTTCTGCCTCTTTGACAAGGATGGAAATGGTATTCTCTCTCTCTCTCTCTCTCTCTTATTCTTCTTCATATACATTTTGCTCATTCAGCAATTAGCACAATTAGCTATAACTAAAGCCTTTCTGTTTGTTGAGTTTTGGTAGGTTCTACATTAGGGCTGTTTGGTTTGGAAAACAGTTGATGTAAAATAAAGATTTGCATAGATTTTTGTTTTGTTCGAAGTATCATCACCATCATTATTATTTCCCTCTCCCATCTCTGTTTCTCTCTACCCCTCCTCTTTCTAGCTGAAAGGAGGCAAGCCAAAGAACCTCAAGTGATTGAGAAAAGAAGAAAATCAGAAGTTAATTTATGTTTATGTTCTCATCCTTTGTTTCATGGGTTCTTGATGTTGTAATACATCAAGCTTAGATTTTATAATTGATTTCCTTCTCATTGGCACTTACAAATCTATTATCTGCTCTTTGTGAATTCCTTCGCTTTACTACTTGCTGGATTTCATAGTTTGTGCAATTAGGTGGCCACCAGACACCAAAGGAATTTTTTTTTTTTTTTTCAATCTATGATTTGGTCAAGGTCAGAAAAGGCCAGCCATATGGCTACATCCCCTTCAATCTCTCAGTTGAACAGTCAAGCAATTGTGC